ATGTGAAATAAGAACGAAAACAACATATGCATATTAACGACTTACACGTTTCAATAGTTTCTCATGCTTTATGTTCTTTTTACGTATTTCAGCGAAAATTATGTTTTTTAATTAATTAAATAATTACTATTATGATACTTATAATGTCGCAATGAAATTTTTTTAATGAGAACATTGGTTTTAATTTTATAACATATAAAGCACATATGTGTGGACTAGCCTGTTTACATTAATGTAACATAACTTAACTTAATTGCTTATAACGAGCTGTTGGCGAGATTTTAATGTGACTTTCGTTGTCGATTGATAAATTCACTTGGGTGACTTACAGGGACCGTAGCCTAGATTTTTGAATTTGTACTGTTCAGGAGAAGGGTTGGGGGGAGGTTACAGTCCTATCAGCAATCTTAAAGTCCCTTCCAGTGCTTGAAGTCGAGTCGACTGTACTCAACTCAAGTTGACTTAAATGCTATTGATTTCGAGCTCTGGTCACAGGCGTGTAGCCAGGAGGGTATTGTCCCCCTCTTAAGCGTTTTATGCCGTGTTCTCCCTCCGGTTCAAAACGGTTAAGGGGGGGACTAGACCCTCCTGGCTACGCGTCAGACTGGTCACCTCTAATCCATCTATTCTGACTAATCAGTGAAAATGCAGTCCAAAAATCATCAGCATATCAACAATTGTCAAAAAACTTTTTTTCACATTTCCACCCACCCACTTCCCTTTCCATCTCAAATGTCTCTTAAGTTTGCAGTTCTTTTATGAGCAAAACATAAAAAGAGCCTACCTTTCCGTACGTTGACATGTAATTCGATCCTTATATTGTACATTTAGCAGTAAAAATAAAAACTTATTGCAAACTTTATGATTATTTGCGTCTTCTTTTCTCTTTCTAACCTCAAATGTAATGTCCAATGTGTATGTAAAAACAATGTGGAAGTCATTCAAGCTATCGAACTCATTAAACATATTTTTTTAGATAATAAATTAATGAATTGGAATTATTCTATCGTAAAACAAGTACTGACCTTTACAGATATTTACCCTCAAAGCAATAAATGCTTGAAAAATCAATGTGATTTATGTGCTTTCTGTCTGATTTCTTTACCTCATTTCTCATTTATTCATTTTAGTGCCATTATCACATTTATGTTTGTGTACTTTTTTGGCCATTATTTAATGCATTAATAAATGATGACGAAAGAAATGGAAAGGAACGAGTCATCGTGTTATACCCCTAAAGTTCATGTATGCTATTTTTTTTTCGGGTGCAATCAATCATAATTATTATTGATAGGAGTAAAGAGCATATGCTTAATTATGTCTGACGTAGCGTTTAATGAGGAAATAAAAAATATTTGCTCTGTTTTTCGGCTTGTCTTGATGTCGATGAAATCAATATGCATACATTGAGCTTTAACAAAAGGTTCATTTGGATAGAGTGGAGTGGAAAATATTTATAGGATTGATTACTTAATATGTAACTGCAGATAGGCAGGAAAGTAGCTATGGTTCCCCTCACGATAGAAAACCAGCTATGATTTTTGAGCGAGGGGCGTTAAGGGGGGGGGGTGTTGGTTTTGCTAGGGGCTCGAGCAGACTTAGGGTTCATTAGTGAATTTTTTTCCAGTACAACCCCTGCTTATTCTAAAAGACTTAATTTAATCTCCCCATCGTAAAAATAGACATCATGAGTGAAGCCCCCCCCCCTTGCCTCCAGAATGAATTAATTGTTAATGATTTATTGTTGAATCGCAATACGAAAATTCATTTGGATGAAAAATTGTTAATTCATTCATTTTTTAAGGATTTTCAGCATGCATTTACAGATTAAATTCTCTTTCGCAGTGAATATTATCCATTTTCACAGGAACGTCATTCCAAATGATTAACAATTTGTAACCATAGGAACTATTGGTCAGTGATTTTGAAGCTTTAAATATGCATCACTCATATTTCTTTAAATTATGATCAAATTTACGTGTAGAGTGGGTTTGAAATGTTTTTTAATGACGCAAATATTTACACGCAATGGCTTCCGGAACGTCATTTGCAACTAAGGACGACAAGGGACAGATAGGGGCGTAGTATTGATGAATATAATTAGACTGTAGGAGGGTTGGTTGAGGGGGGGGGGGGGGGGGTTGGAAAAAGAAGAAGCTTGACAGTAAGCAAAATATTTCCATTTTCAGTCATAATTGCTTAAATAGCCTCAAAATAGGAGCATTGACATTTTATAATCAACGGAAAAAAATAACAAAAGAAGGGAGGGAAGGGGGGGGGGGTCGAATAATATTTCTGTTGAGGAAAGGTTCTGGCTCCTTCAACAACGCCTTGATCGAAATTCAATCGAATAAATTTCCTGCTCTCAATGAAAAAGTGAGCATCTAATTCTGATTAAGGAGTAAAAAACCAGTTTTACAGAATTTTAAGAACTTAATCAACAAAATATTAAATAAACAGTATCAGATATAGTAGCTGACTATTAAGCAAACTGCATAAACAACACAAACTACAATTGATGTGGAAAAGTCACAACAAAAAAGTTCGTCTTCACTGTGTGATATAATGCACAGAAGAAAAATATAATAAAGTCATAACAAGCATGCGACACAACGCAAAGTTTTTTCGTGTCTTTTCTATCGTCTGACTCTTATACTATATAACTTTCGTATTATTCACAGTTCTTCTTTTGTGTGTTCATAATACTTCACATTATTCCTCTACTCTTAAGAATTTTTTGTTTTCACAAATAATATATTAATGCATGCCGTACGCTAAATCGAAAAGGAAAGCAAGGAAGAAGAGTTTTCTGCTAGCTTCATGTGGCTTTTGTTTATTTCGTTCTTTCTTTTTTTCTCTGAAACAAAAAGTTTTGATTCAATTTAAGCGAACTCGTGGCTTGATTTATGTCAATTGTTTATGCGAATGAGCAGAGAAAGTCTGTAATTTAAAAAGGTTCGATCCAAGTGTGGGCTAATAGGCGATTAAGCTGTTACGAAATCTTAGCCTAATATTTAAAGCCATAAATATGCGTTGCAGTTAACGTAATAAAAGAAAGAACAATGGTGAGAGGATGCGAGATATTCTGCGTCAATAGAGAAGCAAAAATTGTTTTGGATCTCTTAAAGATGCAGAAAAACACCACTCAAAATTCAACTGATTCAGATCAACTGACTTTTAATCAATTTATATTAGTCCTTTTCCCTTGAGCCAGTTGCATTCAAATTAGAATATGGAATTAATTGAGCTGACTTTCTGATCAATGACATGATAACGTGCTAAAGATGCAAAAAGTTAAGAGGACGCAAACAAAATGAATCGTCTTGCATCACTTGTAGATGCGAAAAATGATAACTGGAAGCAATACCTTTTAAAAGAAGCAAAAGTGTACTGAACAGCACATCCTTTAGAGTCCTATTGACTCACCATTAAAATTCCAGAAACTGCTTATTATGCCACAGCATTTTTAAACAAGGACATTAATGATTCGCATGTAAATGTATCAAACAATATGCAACAATTAGCAGCCACAACTTTTTTCATTTCTTCTTAATCCTTTAGTAAAGATGAATATGCGGCATATTTTTTTTTTGTTCCTGCTCCTGAACTGCATTAATAGCATTCGTAAATTAATTAAACACATTTAAGCTTAATGGCATTACTATATTGTGTGGCTTATGCTTGATTTATGTGACTAAGGATTCAGGTGCTTCTTTCAGTACTTAATTTCCTCTAACACAATGATAGTGATTGAAATGTCAGGTGCTTGTGGAAATTTAATTGTGTCTCGCTTTCCCAAAAAAACAAAAAAAAAGGAATCTTCGTACATTTTGTAATTCTCAAGTGATTATGTGCTTTGGTTTGGAGCTGCATAAGCAGCAAGTGGTAGGCGGGAATTGGAAAAGAATGAAAATCATTGAAATTCATTGTGTAGCTCATGAGTGGATTACCACTTCGAACAATAAACAACTGAGAGGATTTAATGGACGTGAATATGTAGACATTACTGCATATATGATATTGCAAATATCTACTTGTGAATTCATCTGTTGCTTTTCTGGCTTTGTCATTCGCACTCGATTGGGGGTCATTTTCATTATTTTTCGTATTTATTGGACGTAGTCCAAATGTTTAATGTCTAGCTTTATGGAATTTTAATGAACCAAACATGAAAAGTTCAATTAATTTTTGGATGCACAATTTCACTTTTGGATTCCTTTATGCTTAATTTGATTTTTGGATTGAAAGAGCTTTTGAGTTGGGTATATTAGCTATGATTCTTACTTACGGTTGCATGTCTTTGGATTGTGATCCTGCCAGTGATCTGCTGTTGATTTGTCATAGATAGTCAGTCTCAAACATCTGTATTAACAAGCAATATGAAGTAGTGGTGCTCAATCTGTATGCCGCGGTGCACTTGTGTACCTCAAAAGCTCCACAAATGTGCCTCGTATTTTCCTCTGCAACTGACACAAAAAAGCTTTTTGAGACTCAAGTTTGACGCCAATTCTTCAATATTTGGAAAAAATTGTGAACCAAGAACTAGATTAATATCCAACCAGTTAAGATTTATAATATAACAAACAATTTAAAGCAAAAATCAATCAAATTTTAACAAAAATGTTTTCAAAAACTTTTTTATTAAATTATTTAACTTATTTTTATAATAATTCAAATACTAAATTAGAATAAATAATTCAACATAAAATGACGTAAAAGTAATCAATAATCACTTTATTGCTTCTGGAATGCTTCGTTGTAAAAATCAAATTTCATAAAAAAATGTTTAAAAATTAATTTTAGCGGTGCAAAAATGAATGTTTTTTTAATGGCACTAAATATACTCAAATGTCAACAACCTAGTCGAAAAATAAAATTATATTAAGTACAGTGATTTACAGCACTGAATTGTTAAATTTAAATTTAAGTGCCACTTAAGGAACTAGCAATTAATTTCAGTAATTTTGATTATTATTTTTCTTTTTGTATAATTTATCTCATAATTGTACTAATTTTAATACATCTTGTCAGCTGTCGCAATGATGAAACTTTGTTTCTGGTAATAAACTGCTTATAGCTGATTCGGATTAAAAGTGGGTTTTTGTCATTTAATTTTTAAATTCCATCTAGACATCAATTTTAATTTGATTTTAACAATTTTTCTCAAGGGGTTGTTTGCATATGACGTCATTTAGCGAAGGGAGTGGGGTTGGATGAATCATCATCTATGACAGATTTGTTTCAGTGGGACGAATTATGTTTTTTGACAGACGTCATAAGTGAATGATCCTTAATTTTATTCTACTTTTCTTAAAGCCTCTTTGGGGTCGGTTCCGTTAATCATGTTCAAGATCTTAGACGGGAAAGTTGTAAGCTATAAAGACTCAGCTCAAAGCTGTTACCATGATGTCTATGAATATGCACTAGATCTTTCAATTCTAATCATAACATCCTTAATTAAGTCTCGTACAGCATAAATTCACCATAAAAATTAAACATCATTTACAACCAGACCCCTTTTTACAAATCTATCCAAAAATAATTTTAATTCCTTCCATTGCTAGGCGCGGAAGTTAACGATACTTTTGATTATTTAACATTTTTAACATCAATTTGATAATAAATTTAATTTATTGCTATATGCTCTAATGATATTCTTAATAAAAATAGAATCTTGTCTTTTTCCAATTACTGGTTTATCTCATAACAATTCTTTCAGGCAGCAGTTTAATAGATATTAATTTATTTATAGTTTTTTTAAGTAAGTTGATGGAGAATTAGTCTTGGAAATGGTCAAAAAAGTAGTTTGAGTGATGCTCGAGGTAATGCTTATTTTGAATTTATGGACGAAGTTTATAGCTTGAATAAAGATCAAAAGTCAATCTTGAGATTAGCTTTAACTTAAATTCATCAAACTCTAAAGTTTGAATGCTCAAACCTAAACTTTTTCAATACAAAACCGACCAACTTTCCCCTGGAATTTTAATATAATTAATTTTATTTTTCATGAATATAGTACGTATGAAATTTCAAAATCATTTTTAAATCCTCTCAAAACTTTTCTTGCAAAAAATAGTATTTCATTCAGTCTCAAATCTTAAATATTAGGCAACTGTTTATCTCTCAACATCCACAACCCAAACCTGTTAATTATTTTGGGTGTTTAATGCTTTAAAGTCGTTTAATATAACACACTCGATTCTCTCATGCTTTGCATTACTTTTTTAATAGTTTTTTTTTTGTATAATCTTTTTCAACTTTTTAATTTAATTCACAAAAAAAAAATAAAGTTTTGGTAACTTCATTGATGAAATGAAAATAATAATTATACTTAAATGTTAAGGAATTTCCACTTTAAATTTTGGTAACCAACTCATTGATTTTCAATTCGTCCGGAATATCAATATCCTCCAATTTGGCATCGTTATAGACGAATATTACTTTAACAGCGCTTACATGATTCTCATCCATAAGAAAGGTGTCGTTTATAGACTGTGGATTAGAGGAAAATAATGAGGTTAATTAATTTAATTACAAGTGCTGAAAACAGGGTTTCCTCTGTAGTCGAAGTACAGCAGCAAGTTTTCTTTTTGTTTTAAAATTTTCGTTACAAAAAAAAAGCCGTTAAAATGAAAAAAATTCTAAAATTCGTGTAGAATTTACCAATTAACAGCTCACTGCTCTTATTAAAAACCCAATAACATAATCATAGCATATAGATAGAAATCTCACCATATCTCCTTTAATCTCAGCCAATTTAGCAGATAATTTCTCAATGAGTTTTGGCGATATTGAATCTTCACAGTCATCTGGCGTATAAGATTTAATCAATTTCAGAATTTGCGCACTCGTCAGCGATGGCGATATTTCACATATGCTATCAACATCAGAATCTGATTTTCGAGATTGCATCAAGAGAGCTGCTTCCGTTAGAGCTGATGAGGGTTTAATGACTGATTCCGACTATGTTTAATGATAAGAGAACATAATAAATTATTATTAAGGTGTACCGTGTACTGTGCTGCACAATTTCCATAAGATTTGAGACTAAGGATTCATGCAGTTTGACAGGATTTAAGTCAAAAGCTTTGATTTAATCGTCATATAAGAATTTGAATTTTAAGACGGTTATTTTTCAAATATTTTACAGCCGTTATTTTTCAAATATTTTAAAATCGTTGAATTCAATCTCATGGAAAATGCGCACTAATCAGTTTAAAGGCATTAGTTTGTATGACCTAGATGCCAAGCCATATCAACACGATATACATACCATTTTTTGCTTTTTCACCCATGTCTCAAGACAGGATAAATTAAATTTCAATTTCATTCCCGTCTTCCATGTGCACAAATCCCTTCTCAACATAAGATTATTTAATGCAACTGCACAGATATAATAAAACAATTCTTGGAATATTTGCTCGATATAGCACGGATGTAAGCCAAAGAATACACATTGCTTGTAGAAATACTCCAGTTGATTTATTAATGATTGCGGTTCTGTTGAAATCTTGGTATCATTACCCGGCGAATCTGTTGCCTGTGATCGACGATTTTTTCCCCGTGCCGTCTCATCATGATGCAATATAGCTGGAACAATCAATGACTTAATTGTATCTCTCAAATGCTTGACAAGAATGTCATACATAAAGACAATCGCTTCATGAATAACAACTCGATATTCAGACAAATCAAAATTCTTCAATTGCTGTTGATTCTGTAATTCTGTATTCCTTTCCATGTACTCTTCATTTCCACCGTATTGTTTCAGTAAGTTATGTAGCGATATTGTATTAACAACCCACAAAATTCTCGTCTCAATCTTATTTGGTACTTTATAGATTTTCTTTACGCTCAATATGAAATTTGTCAGCAGTGTCTTGACTTGATTATCAGCATTCAATAAATCCGTATATCTTATGCACATGAATAGTATGTGTGCAGGAAGACTTGGCTGTAATGTGATGGCTGTACGTGGCGTCAAATCATTCACCAATCTTTGTAATAGTTTCACTTCGTCTGAATGTTGATACTTTATAATACCTTGATAACTTTGAGCCTTCTTTTTTGTGACACTCGCCATACCTGCCTCATATGTTGAGTCACCCGTTAAGACAGAATCACTAATGCCATTTTCTTTTAATCGATTTGCGAGAATTTTGTTGCGTTTTTGTAAATCAATTAATTGTTTTTTGATTTTATTTAAATGCTCTTGCGAATCAACAAATGCTGAGGCTGATTTTTCCAACTCCATACGTAAATAACTCTCTTTTTGTCGCATCGTTGATGGATCATAGCCATTTTCCATCTCAACCTTATCTTGTATTATACTTTCGAGCATTATTTTCTCGCTACGCATTGTGTCAATTTCACGCATCATTTCGGTAAGCTTCATATTGTGCTCTTCGGTTAATGCTGTCAATTCTGACTCGAGTTGTTTATTTGCCAGTTTTTGTGCTTGGAATGCTTCCATCAATTCATTGTTATCGTAATTTCTCAGTGACATTGAGTCTTTTGAGTCGGGCTGTGATCCAAATGTACGAATTGTTTGCGATTGTTGTGATAAAATTGACCGTAACTGAATACATTCATCGCGTCGTCGTCTCAACTCTTCAACAAGTGATAGATATTGTGATTCTAATTCCTGATGTTCAACGCCACGATTTATACTATTTCTAAGCAATTGATAATCTTGTCTCAATTTCTCATTCTCAACTTCCATTTCTGATATTTTTATTGAATCTTCTGTGACGTTTGAATTGCTTTTTCTCTTCATCCATTCAAGCTCATTACGTAGTGAATCGCCCTTACTTTTCTCATCTTCCAGCAACTTCCTCAATCGAAGCATCAAAACGGTTGTGTCATTCTGATTTGTCGGGCTATTATTTGGTGTTGATGTTGCTTGATCTAATTTTAAAGTTTAATTGAACGAGTTTTTTGTGTGTAAAGAAAAGAAATTTCAATTAGTTTGAATTTCATTGACATTTTAAGTATGTATGTTTTGTGCATTCTTCCATTCATGATTTATGTGCTGTCAATTTGATTAATGATCGTTATGATAGATTTTTAAAATTTTATTCGGGGTGCAAAACTATGATTAAAGTTCAAAATTTTGAATTTAAGAATCCGTTAAAATTTGAAATTCAGAAAACCGTTAAATGTTTTAATAATTTTGAGAATTAAAAGAAAGTTTTTTAATCATATCTGGGAAAATGCACTTCACTTATCACTTATAAATAAATAGATATAGACCACTTGTTAATTACCACACCATCACGTATGTTATACAATATTTTGTTAGATATTTCGCTTAATTTAAAATCATTAGTTTGAAATTGAATGTTAGAACAGAGATAATTAAGTTCATTGAACTAGTTCCTTCGTTACCTTCAGAAATGCGACTAGTTGAGAAACCAAAGAAGCTCTTTATTTTACGCTCTAAAGTATGATTTTTGGATGGTGTGCTACTATTTTGTACACTGGAATTATGAGAACTTGTCAAAGAGTAAAATTCACCTTCAGAAAGCTGCGACGATGCATTCAACACTGATCCATTTTTCCTGGTCTTTTCCAGTGTATTTTTGTGAGACGAATAGCCAAAATCTTCTTCGTGTCCATACATCGATGAGCGTATTTGATCAAATTCATTTGGGCTTGAAATAATCATTTGAAGACGCTTCACTTCTTGTCTCAGTAATAGATTTTCATTTTCTAGCGACTCCTTATCCTTGATAACTTTATGATAAGCATGATTGATTTCATTAGCTTCCGCTTCTTTTAATTTAGCATTCTTATCATTTTCAGCAATTTCAAGCATTTCAGAAATTTTATGCTTTAATTCAAGCTTTTCAACTTGCCACTGATTCTTTTCTATCATCCATGCTTCTTCATCCTTCACTTTTTCATCAAGCACGGACATTTTCTCATCTCGTTCACGATCTAATGATTTTTGTATAAATATAAGACGGTCTTCCTTGTCGCTCAATGTTGATTTCACTGTCTTTAGCTCATTATCGAGGATCTTCAGCTGCTCTGCTTTATTTCTGAATATACAAAAGAAAAAAATATTTAAATAAAATTTAACGGTTTTTTGGATTTTAAACTATAGCGTTTTTTTTTGGATTTTGAACTTAACGAAGAATTAAAGTTCAAAATTCAAAATGAAGTTGAACGGTTTTTCGAAAATTTGTTCCTTACCTCAATTCAGGAATGACGACAATTTGCTGCTTAAGCGATGCATTTTCCTTATTAATCAAATCGTACTTTTGCTGCAATTCAATAATCTTATTTTCAAGACCTTTGTATTTTGTTTGCAAATGTGAAATAGATCGAGCTTCTGCCTTTAATTTCTTGAATTGCTTCTTGGCTAGATGTCGTCGAATACATGATTGGACTAAAACAATCTTCCTTATCTTCTCATTGAATTCTTTTCTCGCCAAATATCCACGACAGAATCTCTGTATTTCAGTTGCCTTGTGATTATCCATTGTCGTCGAGAATCGTTGTCGTGCCATATATCCACGTCCATATCGTTGTATTGCTAAAATGCTTCTTCTCGCATTGACATATTTTGTACGTTGATACCAGCCTTTCATATAACGTTGTAACTGAATAGCAGCACGATTTTGCCGTAAATTATTGGCCTTTCTAATGTAGAAAAAACGAAAACAAAAAGAGTAAAAACTTATTCGTCTTTTCTTATCTGTTATCACTAATTTTTTTTCTGGTGTGTATGAATGTTTTTGTTCCTATCAATTTTTCTTCCTACACATCAAGAATGTACGTTACACAATGTTATCATAACTGTAATTGTTTTATAGAAATTATGATAAACTCAATTAAGATATAAGGGAGTTCTCCATAAATAATGTCAATTAGCAATTTAAATTCGCACAGAAATTCGATGGAAAACAAAAACTTTGAAAAATAGCGGTCCAAAAATATTTAAATAAATAACCGTCAAATCAAATTTTAAAAATAACGATCAAAATAAATTAAACTTTTAAACGACGTCATTCAAAATTGTTCCCAAAAATCACTTAATGATAAGAACAATCGACAATGATTGCTGGGCTTATGCTATATAAAATTCACAATTTATGATCATTGGCATGTTGAACGCATATCATATAGTCACACGTACCTTCTAGCTAGTAATCCTCGCGCATATGTTTGTAATCCAAGTGCTGTTTTCCTAAGTCTTAAGAACTTATTTCGATAGATAAAGCGTCTAATAGCTGATTGTACAACAACAATATATCTACGTCTCAAATCAGCTCTCAATTGTTCTAAATATGCAACTTGACCAGCACGGAAGAAGATTTGCGTATGTCCAAAACGATATTTCTCCTCATCAATCAGCCAATTCCTGACAATATTCGTGCACGTAGCTTTCGTATTCCAATCAACAATTTCAGCACGTCTGCATAGCAAACGATATCGATCATAAAAGTCATCATATGCCCAACGCGATGGAAATCCAGCTGCTGAAATTCGAACAGTTTCAAGTACACCGCAAGCTCTTAATTGTTGGACAATTTTTTGGGCTTCCCATTTAAATGCCGACTTTTCATCGTTTGGCTTAATACATCGGACATAATGAGGCGTTGTTGAATGCAATGTCGTTATTAATTGCCTTAAACTGTCACGAAATTGCGATCCAACCGTGTGTTTGTGCTGTTTCGATGGAAGGGTCTGTGAAAATTTTAAATAATCAAAAATGATATTTACAGCCATAAGAACGGAATTAAGCAACACAAAAATTAATAATAAAAGTATGAAAATGCATGACACTAACTTTTGTATTTCGCAAATTATCCTGCTTAACAGACTGAAATAAAGCATGTGAAAATGACAAAACAATAACAGAACATAAGCAAACTAGCAACAAATAATAATAATAATGAGGATAAACTTTATAGTCACCTGCACTTTTGCTGCACTAATAACAACACGAGCGCTTCCAAGAGTTGCTGACTTGCTTTTCTCATTATTCTTATCATCCTTCTCATCAAAAAGGATTAAATGACGACAGAATTCCATGTCTGATTGTTGAATTACATTAACAAGTTCCTTCGAGACAGTATCTCGATTTTTCTCGAGAAATCCAGCACATTCATACTGCACAGTGTCAGAGAAATGCTTTACTAAGAACGACGAAGTACCGAATCGAGCCTTTTCATAATGCTTATATTTTGAACATTTTTCATTCAACTTTCCAACCCAGGAATTATCAGAGCCGTTGGGCATTCGACACTCTTCGTCCAGCAAATCCAAAACTCCCAATTTTGACTCAATCAGATCGATGCATGGCTGATTATCATAGAAGTCAATCATGTTCCAAACAATTCCTTCTTTCAGGTAAACTTCTTGTTCCAATTTAAATACATGTGAATTGAATTGTTGCTGCAGTTTCTCATTGGCATAATTTATGCAAAACTTTATATGCGAAAAAAAATTAAATAAGGGTACACATGTGAGTCAATTAAGTATGTGGGATAATTTGTTGTGTGCTAATAGACTCAATTTTTGTAAATTTTAAATTAATAATAGTGAGTTTTTAACGGAAAAGTTTGAATTGTTACAGAACACACTCAACGTTCAAATTTTAACCGTTTTATTTTGTGAACACACTCAGAGTTCAAATTTAAGCTGTTCCATTTACTAAATACTCCAAGTTCAAATTTCAACCGTTATTTTTACTGAAGGCACTCTAAATTCAAATTGATTAAGCGCTCTTTTCAAAAAATTTATGGACGTTAAAATTCAAGTCTATTGGCACACAGCACTCAAAAAGTTCAATAAAATGCAAATTAAATTACCTGCTCAAATGAGTTAATTTCGAACGTTTCGAATCCATAAATGTCGAGAACGCCAATAAAGTTATCTTCCTGCTTGGTGTTAATTAAATTTCTGTTTATTGTCTTTACGATATATTGGAATACTTTGGAGTAAATGTGTTTGGCAAGAGCCTCTCGTGCAGCCTCTGCTTGGTCTTTATTCATTGGAATTAAGACAGTGTCATTAATAGACTCAATTTGACGAGTTGTGAGCCATCGAGAAAGATTATCCTTCTTGAGTTTTAATATATCGGAGAGTATATTAAGTGATAAATCATTTGGTTCTATTGCCGATGACTCTTGATCAACGGATGTTATGTTAATATTTCCTAAATGTAAGATTCCAGCAATAATTCTAATTATGTTGTTAATTTCATCATTTGAGAATTCTAATGTTGTTAATGACTTTAATGTGTCATCAAATTCATTAGCATCAGATACTCGTGGAATAACGGGAGCACAGCCTTGATTTAAAAATCTAAACTTGTCAGGATGATCGAGCATCAGTTCAGGATATTTTGAACGACCAGCACAAAGCTGATAGAAAATATGATAATTTCGTTCATCCGGCGCTTGAAATACAACACGAGATTTTTCAAGGAGATATGTCTGCATTGTGGCACCAGTCAGTGACATCATTGAGATGTTATTGTTAAATAACAATTTTGTGAATTTGCCAAATCTCGAGCTATTATCATTCCTTGTCGTTTTTGCATTCCCAATAGCCTCCATTATAGGACTCGATGCAAGGACTTTTCGTTCAATTTGCGTTTCCGACTCACTTCCACCGACTGCTGCGAAATATCTCATAGCATATTTTGCTGATACAGTTTTACCGGCGCCTGATTCTCCACTCACAATAATACTAATGTTACTTTTTTCACGTTCCAATTTAGCATAAGCTTCTTCAGACACGGCAAAGACGTGTGGTTCCATTTCGCCCATTGTATGTCCACGATATGCTTGAATGATGTCAGGTCCATAGATTGGAAGTTCATAATATGGATTTATAGCAACTAATACAATCCCACAATAAGTATAAATTGTTTGACGTTCTTTAAAGCGAACTTCCAAGTTGTACAGCACATCTGGCTCATGGAGATAAGAGAGTGCTGTTAAATCATCTTGACCGATGAGAATAGTTGGATTTCTCAAATGCGGCAATTCCTTCTCATTTTTAACTTTAATTTCACGCTTATCGCCTTTGTCGGTCGTTAATTTAATCGATATTTTACTCGGATCGTAATTCTCATCAAGCACAGCGCCTTCCCATACAAACTCGGCATTTGGAATCCAAATGCGCGCTCCCTAGAAACATTAAATGAGTGATTTGTTATTAGCAAATAGACCGATAAGGTCGAAATAGTGCTGTATGTTATCAATTCATTGACACAAGTTGATGTCATCGAGGAATGATTCATCGATTGCATTCCGAATTTATTTTTCTTTCTTTCCATTCTTTTATTGCTTTCATCATCATCTTATGCTATACACAATATAAAGTCAGTAAGAAAGATTTTCTCACGGAAATTAGGTCAACAAACATAAGAAATAAAAAAAGACTAATGTAATGAAATATGTGGCAAGTCTGAATTTAAAGTATATTAGGTAAAGTCAATATTTGCTACTTGATTTTGATAAGACAAAGTCCGCAATAAGTCATTAAACAATGAAACCCTAAAAGTTCTCTTTTTTGAGGAAAATATTGCGAAAAACTTTTTTCTTATAAGCTTTTCACGAATTTTTCACTTTAAATCACAAGATTTTTACTCACCTTCACATACAGCTCTTTCGATGTCATCTTTACTTAATTTTATTCACTGAAAATTTTGATAAACATTGCAGAAAATAGGTGAAAATTAATTAAAAACTTATTGAATGAAAAATCAACAAAACGATGAAATTTATACTAGTTTAAGTACCCGTTTTTTTTCATGGCACATGCAATTTATTCTCATTTAAATATTTAAATGCACAATTATTATATTATTGTGCTAATTAAAAGCTATTTAGAGCAATCAGCTTTGTACAAATTAATATTATTAACAGAATTAAGAACAGAACAGACTCAGTTTTTATATACATAAAGTCGCGGGATATTTATAAAAAATTCAAATATTTTTTAACCGTTACACTTTATACGAATTGAATTTTCAATTATTTTCACTTTCATGTCGTGCCTGCAACAGCAGCAAGTATGCAAATGATTTCTGTAGCCAAACAAGTTCCAAAGATGGAAAGTCTTTGTAGTTAGCATCCATTTGCTTGCAGCATTCGTGAAAGCTCTTACCATTAATGTTTTGCTGCTGAGCACATTCATCTTCAATTTTCTTGGCTAATTTTATGAGTTTGGCATTTTTAATAGGTATGTGCGGTGGCATTGGATAGTTAAATTCACATGCTTCACAATCGCATTTGAAATTAAATTGTTTGAGTAGTTTTGCCTGTCTTTCGTCTTTTGAATGCTTCGCGAAACTTACTCTGAAATGACCATAAAATAATTAATGAAGAACTTGATTTAAATAACTTTTGAGCACTCACTTGTAGCAATCGAATAATTGAGATCCGCTTGGGATGAATCGAGTGACAATTAATGCAATTTTTCCATCAATATAAATCCTCAAAATATTGCTAGCACATGAGTGGTTAAATAAGCTACAAAATGGATACCATCCAGATCCAATCGATTGCTGCAAATCTTGATATGCACGAGAATCATTGGAACTGATTTTTTGACCGAATATTCCATGGAAATAGTGATCATTGGTTTGGCATTGCCGATGTAAAAATTCTTTTATAAAATCTTTATTGGATTCATAAATTTCCTTTAATTCTGGATGATTCTCCAGTATTTCTTCATGCTGAGCTATTGAAAATTTACCATCACTTCTTGTAAGTGTATTCATGTATCTTAAATAGCTTTTAACATTGTCAGGCTGACTAATGTTGAAGTCAAAGATTGAGAAATTTTTATCCATTTTGTCAATTCCGTTCATAAAAGTTTGAAGCTCCTTAATTGAGCCTTTAAATGCTGAAAGTGCTATGAAGAATATTTTGAGTGCAATATGAACACTTCCAGAAGTTAAAAGCTTATCCATGACTGGACATTCATACTTGTGAAAGCTCTCAAAAGCTTCTTGCTGACATGATGGACAGAACATTGCTGGAATTGCAAACAAAAATGGTTAAATTAATAGAAAATAAGGTTAATGGTCAAGCTCTTACCGCTACAACATCCTTGACATGGCACAAGCTCAAATCTATTACTTTTCAAGCAGTAAGCACACCTCAAGAATTTATTGTTCTTATCAACATCCACAAAGTTCGAGTGAGTCAGTAAAATACTGCAAAAAGGCTTTTCAATAGCCACAATATCTCCAACATGAAGATCCTTGTTTGTGATTACATGCCTGCCATATTTGTCATTAGTTCTCATTTCTAATCCATCAATAATGTATGGGATTGCCTTGTTGGGTTTATAGGAGAGTCTGAAGAATTTCTTTCCTTCATTTCCTTTGCTTTTCTTGGCTAGTTCCAAGCATTTTTTCTCACGAGTATCTAGCACTTCCTGACTAGATTTTGGGTAGTTGTTCAGCCTAGCTAATTTTATATTTTTCAAGCACTTTTCAAACTTCTTTAATTCTAGACAAATTGCTGATCGATTAGCATAAGCTAGACCTAAATGCTCACTATCGACCTCACTAAAGCACAAACTTTCATTGTACTTAATTAAGGCATCATTGAAGCTCCTTTCTTTGTAGGATGAATTTCCTTCGTTCCTTAATATTTCAGCAATTTTATTCGACTTCATAATTCATGCACCGATTTATGTAATGCGAAATATTCTCTATTAATAAGTCACGTTTTCAACTCTCTGAGAAATGAAGATAAACTGACGTGAAATATAAGATTTCTCCTCGTTATGCTTCTTTTGAAGATCAATCGTTGGTTTATTTTCACAACGAAAATGAAAATGAAAAGAGTTTTTCATTCTGACGCACAGTTGATAAACTGAGAATGTCTGCATTAATTTATTTTTGATCTCGTAGAGCATCTCTTGTATCTGCAAAGGTTTCATAAAGGTTGAGAAATATTTTTTCTGAAAAAAGAGCGCGAAAATAAATTTAGATTTTCGTCTCAATTAAGTCAGAGAAGTGAAAATGTGACCAAAATGTTTACATTAAATAAATCAAGTGACGAAAAATTAAAGTCAAATGTTTGGATTCATTAGTGTCAAAAAAGAATCAGGGTTGTAATTGAAGACTTTTGGTAATTTGGGAAAAAATTCAAGCCCCATGTCACCCCCCCCCCCTTCGTGATCTCGAAATTTTTAAGTACGAACCTATTCAGGAGATTTGTCCCAAACCTTTATACAACAATTTATCTATAATTTGCAAAATAATTCACCATAGACTTTTCATCTCACTAGTTCGACATCTGAAGCGTACGAGTTCACACATGGCATGAGGAAGACAATGCTATTGCTTAATAATTTTCTTTTCTATTTTTTTATATTCATAATTTATTTTCTACTCTCTTTTTATCTTCTTTAAACAAAAAGTGAGCAGGTGTGAGTTATTTATTCACAACTGATGCTATTGTCCGTATCCGATTCTATTTTTGTTGACTTTTCCAAGTTTTTGCGAATTTATGAATGAATTTTAAGACTCAAATCTAAAATTAGTTGTCACCACGTGCGTTATTTTTTTAACGGCTATTTTTCAAAAAATTTATACGATTTTAAAATAGTCGAAAAAACCATCAACAAATGAAAAATTTCCCTTTCTGATTTTTAAGAATTTAGAAATCAAAAATTGGAAAATTAATTTATTTTGGTATTAAATCGCTATCAACAATCCAAAGAACCTATTAATCTGACTATTTACATCGTGTACAAGCAGTTCAACATAAATTAAAACCAAATAATGGCTTATCAGGTATGGAATTTTGATAAAATATTTCGGCTATTTTCTTGATATAGATTGATGAGTCATAAGTGGACTTTGATGTATTACTTTATGTCATGTTTTATATGTTTTCTGTTTCTATTTCTAGGGATATAATCCATATGGTGGATACGGACAGCCTCAACAAAATCAAGTATCTCCTGAAGTTCAGAACTTTTTTGCTCAAGTTGACAAAGATCGTTCTGGTAAAATCAACTCTCAGGAATTACAACAAGCTTTAATTAATGGCAAGGGTCAACAATTTTCCGATCAAGCATGCAATCTTATGATTTCAATGTTCGATGCTGATCGTTCAGGCACAATTGACGTTTACGAATTTGAGAAGTTATTTAATTACATAAATCAATGGCTATCATGCTTCAAGGCATACGATCGCGATTCCAGTGGAGCTATTGAAGAAGCAGAACTTGGACAGGCACTGTCACAAATGGGCTTTAGATTCAGTCCACAATTTGTCACATTTTTGATTGGAAATAACGATCCAAATAGGAGAGAAATTGCAGTCGATCAATTCATTGTTCTGTGCATCAAAATTCAGAGATTCACTGATGCTTTCCGTCAACGTGACCAACAGCAACAAGGCATCATTTCTATTGGCTTTGAAGATTTTCTTGGAATTGCATTAGCTTGTACTAATTAAACTCACATCCTTTGCATGAATTAAACTGCATTTTAGCTATGAAAAATTGATTAAAATATTTGTATTTGTTGGGAAATGGAACTTGTTCGCATAGAAATTAAGTATTACAATTGATGGTGACGATGGATAGGCTTTAATCACTATCAAATGTAATTATTGACTTTAAGATGTCTGCTAATAGAGGTTTAAAATCTAAATTGCTGACAATAGCCGTTTCTCAACCCTGAAAATTAAGAATATAGTTCCGTATCTACATCTAGTTGTTTTGATTCCTTAATTGATCTATTGACCGAAATGAAAAACACAAGTGGCTTAAATAGAAGAAAATCTGAATTTATTTTTCTTGCTTAGTGAAATTTGATTTTACAAACTTTTAAATTAAACATAATTTCTTCATTTTTTTCTACAATTAATTAAAAGCCTATATGAATGAACAAAAAAAGTTAATTAAAGTATTTTTGATATTTTTTAAAATTATTTTCTGATTTTTTTTCACGTTTTTTTGAGAATTTTTAAATTTTTTCTACTTTTATTAATTATTGATCGATTCATGTTTTATATCGCTTAGCTTTTACTTTTCTTTAAAGTTATCTTTAAGTATTTACACTATATAAATATATTACAGTAAAATGTTTATTTAAAAATTGTTGAAAAGAAATGGCAATTTAATGAAATAAAATGTCTAAGAAATTTCTATCGTCTCAAATGCTTTAACAATAAATTTACTACTCTTTTTTTTTAAATAAAATTCTCGATTCTTTAATTGAAACAGATTTAAAAGGCGATTTTTATTGAATTTTTATTAAAATTTCTAATTTAAACTTTTTTTATATCCTTAAAAGCTTTCTTAAAGCTCACTTCCAAAGCTTTATTTCTAAAATTTGCAACATACTAATTTCAACTTCTTATTAAGTTGGTAAATTTTTCACTATGTTTAAAAAAATCACTTAATTATAAAGATATGAAGGACTTCTAATAATCGAATATAATTCCTCGAAATCAATTTTTGAGTATTTGATGGAAATTATTAACTTTTAATTCCATTTAAATGTTTGTCGGGCATTGAATTTTGAAGAATTTTATGGATTTGTTAAAAGAATTCTGATTTTTTGTACTTTATTTGTTTTCTTTAATATTTTCAACATTTTCAGATTTGTTTTTAAAAATTCAAAAAACATTTGAAAATATTAAGCTTTAAAATCTTCAGTGAATTTCTCATCAAAATTCCAATAATTTCTACAAAATTCAAAATCCCTCGATAGAAATAAGCTTTAATAAATCTATTTTACTTCATAACAAAACGTGCTCATCTAGAAATAATTATTTATGTTCGAAAAAATGGAAGCAATATTATCGCAATAAACTTCTTGTCATTTTAGTTGTCTCTGCATCATCTACAATCTCTATTTGATGTGTTTTATGTTATTTCTTTAGAAAAAAATCTCTTTTAATATTTTATTTTGATTTTTTTCAATAAATTTCATTTTAATAGTCATTTTAAAGAAAGTAGAATAATGATATATTTTCTATATAATCAATAAGTTTAAATGTGAGAGTATTTGTATTCACATTAAAATTGGAAAGAAGAAAATGAGGAAAAAATTTAATAAAGTGTGAAAATTAAAATTCAATTTGATTATTTTTGTACTTTTAATCGCAAAAAACGAGAGCTTAACAATCTGTACAATTCCACGAAGAGAAAATTCATGATTTTTGAACGTAAACATATAAAAACAGGGATTTAAATTAGGATATAAATAAGTTGTGCATCAAATTAAGTTTTAAAAGATAAAAAGGGATTGGGAAGAGTTTTAGTGATTTCTTTGAGATTCTTTTAAATTCTAGCCAGTTTGGACACCAGTTTGTTTGGAAACAAGTCTGATTTGGAACCAAATCAAAATGGAAATCTTATCTTCGAAGTTCATTTTTAGAAATTTCCTGAAGGTTCAAAAACACTTGTGTTATGTACAGTATAGAACTCGTTCGAACACAAAGTAGCTGACACTTAGTTCAAATTGTACTGTCGTCTTTGCAGCCTTTAACTCAACATTTAAGAGCGTTCGGAATTTGCTAAACCTTGAATATTTTCTTTAAACATTCGTTGATCGGTTTTATAGCTTATGTATCAAATCGTTGAGTATATTAATCTTAATTTGGTTTCTTTAAAACAAAATTTAATTTGGCAAAAAGTTGTTCAAATATTAACAAAACGAAAAATCATCAAAACCGAAAATCTCAAAGAAACGACCAAAACGAATCCCACAAGATAAATAAAATACATCGAAATAAAAAATCTTCGCATTTTCAATAGTATTTTCATCTCATTATAAGTTTGTGTAAAGCTCTTGTACCATTATGTTTTTTTATCAAGTTTCTTCTTTATCTTTAGTTTACTTGTAAAATGTGATCTAATTAACTCCTCATTATTATAATTTATTATAGTTTTACTTAACTCCATTGGTATCATCGTTATTCAATGGATATTAACTGATCCCTTAATTCTTATTATCATTATTTTTAATTTTATATTCTTTAAGCTTTCAAGTAAGTTTAATTAATTATCTCTATTGGAATTCTTTTTTATCTTTATCTTATTTAAAATAATTTACTTCTTTAGTTTAATGAACTGTCTACATTTTTCATCTCTTTGTAGAAAATTATTCAAAAGGAATTTAAGAAAAATAAGCATAAAAGGTAATGGACGCAATAATTGAATGCATTAAGATATTTTTGGTTTTTTTGTTGCAGACCTTCAGTGCTTATAAGACCATTACAGTGTTATAAATTATGATAATTGGTTTTGTCACAGGTGTTTTGAGTTTGAAGAGGCTTTTTTGATAAAGTAGACTTTATTGTTGATTCTGGCGTTGAAGAAAATTGAAATTTTAGATTTCCCGCCATTTTAAGGCGAATATGTGAATTCAAAGTCATATGAATAGATTGTAAATTCAAATACCGTGTCAACTATAAGAACTTGCCGATCAATCATTAAACAATGAATAGTCAATGTAGTTTTGAAATTTGAAAAAAAGAAGTCTTCATCAACAGCCGATAACTTCTGGTTGAGTTTTAGAACCAAAAGACAATAGATTTCTGACTCTTTAAGACATATTAGCTCTAAAAAATATTGATATCAGTAAAGATTGTTGATTTCCGAAAAATGAAAAATCTTCCTAAACCTAGCTTTTTTGAGAGAAAATTAATCTCTACTTGGTAATTGGTTAAATAAGGCCAGTTAAATAAAATGAGAACAAGATTAATTTTTCGATGAAAAGGAAGCCTTATTAGAGATTGAACTAAATTAAGTGTTATCCTAACCTATCTTACTCGTATTATTAAATCATATTATTCACAAATTCACTTAACTGTAATGTTCTTTACGCTTTACTGAAGTTAGTAGCTTGTATCAAGTATTTGTTTTACTATATGATAGAATCTTGCATTTTTTTAATGTTGGTAAAACTTTGAAAGTTCCTTCAAATCTTGACTGAATTCCAAGATTTCTCAGAGAACTTACTCATAGCTTTTGATAGACTAGCAATAATTTTACTCGCTTATTCAATTCATTTCTAATCTAATTAATAATTAATAGTAAATTGTTAAATTAAATGTCTTATGTTACAAATGTTATATGTTCTTTTTTTTTAGGAAAAACATGAGCAGCATTATGTGCCCAATATTTTCACTGCTACAAGTATCTCCGCACAGCTCAAAAATTTACAATACTTACTTACAAGATATTATCTCTATTACCTATATTTTTTTTATTGAATGAATTTTTTTAAAAGTTTGCATGCATAAATACACTGGTGGAAATTGAAATGAGACACCCATGTTTTTTATGTGAAAGTCTTACAAATGAAAGATTAAGCCTTACTTGTTATATATCATTGGAAAGGATTTTAAAAAATAACTTAGGCACAGGAACAATGTACTGACTAAAAATGTAGCAGTTTAAAGTTATTTACAAAATATGATTTTTGAGGTGGAAATTGAATTGAGACACTTTTGAAAAATTTACAAAAATCTTCCTCAATTTTGACTTCACCTGTAAATATTGCATATTGACTTAAAGATTTTTACTTTCTTAACAATACTAGAGCATTCTAAAATTTTTTGGAACTTCCAGTCATCTAATATCCTTAAGAGAAAGTAGTAATAGCCAAGTTTTTTGTTTTCATCAAATATTTTTATGAATAATCATCTATTAATAACAAATAAAATCAAAATATGAAGATTTTTAAACGCTCTTTTAGATAAAGAATAAATAATTAGCTTAACATAAACACAATTCACAAAAATTAATTAAAATGTATTTCACAAGTGAGTCCAAATAGGAAAAAATTAATTTTTCTCTTATTTTGGCTAGTCAAAAAAATCTTTACTTTTCAGGACACATTCTGCATTGCCTTTACTATAAGTTTTTAATGCCATATATTTTTTATATCCATCCATAAACGCTGGGGATAACATTTAATTCATTATGAAATTTCAAAATATCATATTCCATAAATTTTTCGCATTAATAATGCAAAAATTCAAATCAAAAAATTCCGTTAAAATTTTCTTATTTTTGTCATTTATTAATACTTTATGGACATAAAACGTATGTATATAACATTTAGAGAATCAAGCACTAAGTTTAAGATACTAAAGTATCCTTATAATATCAGGACAATTTAATTATTGTTTGTTTACACCATTAATTTTAGGCTAGAAAAAAGATGCAATAATAAATTCAAAAATTTTGACCGTTACAAAAACACTAAAACCTAGTATAATTAAATTATCCTGATAGCATAATATCTTAAACATAGTGCATGATTCTATTAGTTTTATATAAATACGTTTTATGTCCATAAGGTATTTATAAATGACAAAAATAAGAAAATTTTAACTGAATTTTTTGATTTGAATTTTTGCATTAATAATGCGAAAAATTTATGGAATATGATATTTTGAAATTTCATAATGAATTAAATGTTATCCCCAGCGTTTATGGATAGATATAAAAAATATATGGCATTAAAAACTTATAGTAAAGGCAATGCAGAATGTGTCCTGAAAAGTAAAGATTTTTTTGACTAGCCAAAATAAGAGAAAAATTAATTTTTTCCTATTTGGACTTACTTGTGAAATACATTTTAATTAATTTTTGTGAATTGTGTTTATGTTAAGCTAATTATTTATTCTTTATCTAAAAGAGCGTTTAAAAATCTTCATATTTTGATTTTATTTGTTATTAATAGATGATTATTCATAAAAATATTTGATGAAAACAAAAAACTTGGCTATTACTACTTTCTCTTAAGGATATTAGATGACTGGAAGTTCCAAAAAATTTTAGAATGCTCTAGTATTGTTAAGAAAGTAAAAATCTTTAAGTCAATATGCAATATTTACAGGTGAAGTCAAAATTGAGGAAGATTTTTGTAAATTTTTCAAAAGTGTCTCAATTCAATTTCCACCTCAAAAATCATATTTTGTAAATAACTTTAAACTGCTACATTTTTAGTCAGTACATTGTTCCTGTGCCTAAGTTATTTTTTAAAATCCTTTCCAATGATATATAACAAGTAAGGCTTAATCTTTCATTTGTAAGACTTTCACATAAAAAACATGGGTGTCTCATTTCAATTTCCACCAGTGTATTTCACATATCGCTGCATGATGCATGTATGAATGTTGTGTACATGTGTGAACGATTTAAAAACTGAATGCTGAATGTCTGAAGAATTTTTCACGTGTATGATGTGCACTTATTTAGATATTTATTGAAAAATGAAATTTTTTTATCACTTCTGCTTGCTTGCATGCTTGTTTGCTTCTTCCTTCCCCACCGTAAAGCCATAAAATTTCTTGCTTTTTGAAATTCCCAATGTGAGAAAGCTCGTTATGTAGAAAAATTCTTTTCCTTCATCCTTCAAATTCTTATTGCATAAAAAGAAAGAAAACGTTTTTCTCGTGCTTCTTATTTTGTTTCTTCTATGCTGGCGATAGAGGTTCCATATAGATGAGCTTTTAAAATGTATATTGTGCACCATCGTCTTAATATTACTGATCAAATTGGAATTCTGCTGATATAAATGGTTCAAATTGATAGGATTAATCATGATTTTTTGGGAATTTGATTCCATTCAATTAGGGAATGTGGAATGAGATAGAATAAAATGTTTAATTACAAGCTGGATGAATATTTCTTCTCGATTCTCGTGTTTTAATTAAAATTATTGGTATTTACTAAGTATTTAAATTTCTTTGATAAAGTTTAAGTATATTGAACAATAAGGTTTGAAATGTCTAAAGTGTTGTGTGAAGAATCGCGACTTAAATGTCTAAAATTGATTTTCCAAAAAGCAGGCAAAGATTTGGTTTGTAATTTAGAAGATGCTGATGAAAAAAATAGTAGATTGAAAAAAACTCAGAATTTATATCTGAAATTCATCTTAAAATCTTTCAAATCGTCTTCATTCTGATCAAACTACATCCAAAGAACCTCTATCTCAATTAACAAATAAAATCTTAATAAAATCAAATTAAAAACATAAAAAAAAACTCAAACTCAAAACATTGGTGGTGCATCAAAGAGTGGATATGACATAAGACTTTGGTGAGTTGTTAAACTGTGTTCTCAAAAATAAATAAATAAATAAAATTGTGCAATGTTTGCTAAATGTTCATCTACAAGAATCTACACATGTGATTTTTCTTTATTGAACTTTTAATTTCTTTTTTTCAACGATATTTGAACAAAAAATAAAAACTTAAAGTAAAATAATAAAGAATAAAAAGATACAGAATAAGCAAAATACAAATAATTTACATAACATAAAAGAAACTTAGTCAAGAGAGTCTACAGAGTTGTTGTTTGTTTTTTGTTTGAACTGATCTAGAGTAAGGAATTGATAAATCGTAGTTTTATCATTTTTGATCATTTGCAAACCAATTTTATCTGATATCTGATTACTGATCTTAAGACTAAACTATGTAGTTCAAAGTTTCGTCAGAAGGTAAATTACTGTAAATTATATTTAAAACTTTTATTTAAACAATTTAGATGGTTTTAAAAATGTCCATCTAATGACTAGTAAAACATAATTAATTTTTCATAGAAAACATTCTTAAGAATGATAATTTAACAAAATTCCATGTCAAAATGTTGAATCTAAAGTTTCAAATCAAAATAATAAACAAATCAAAGTAAAAATTTCAAAGATCCAGCTGCAAAACTAGCAAAATTGAAGATCACTAGAAAAATTTCCAAAAAATCTTTTACTGGATCTCTCAAGACTTATTAAAACTACTAGAATAACTACTATTCAACTCCAAAACAACAACTCTAGTCTCAACTTGTGAATATGAACAAAGAATATTAAGAATTTTTCTATAAAGTTACTTCTACATTTCTTAACAACTAAAGAGATTCCTATAAATTTCGAAAGAAAAATATTTTTATTGAAAGAAATAAAAAAAAAAGTTAATATAACGTGCGAGAAAAAAGCTCAACAGTAATAACAATATTAATAATATTAATGCAGAATAACTTTTTGTGCTCTTTTTTCTCTAAAAAATAACAAAAGGGAAAATTTTAAAGGAGGGAAATTTTTGTTTTTCTTTAGAAGCGATTGAAAATTGATTTAAATCTTTTGTTCAACATTTTTCGTTTTATTTGATGCGATAAACTTGTTTTTGTGTGTCCTTTAAAGTTCAAAATTTTAAGATTGTTTTAGTATCTTGAAGTTTTTACTTTATTTGACTTTAAGATTAACTTGAAACTGTTAATTACTTTTTGAAGGTCATTGTCTTAATTTGTCTAGCATTACAATAACTTTGTATAGGTTTGACTGAACAATATTTCACCAAGTGTGAGTTCTTATGCATGAAAATTACTCTTCCAGAAACAATGATACCACAAAAACCATACATAACTAAGAACGAAGAATTGAATTAGTCACAGACTATCACTCATGAAAACCGCTAGAAATTATAGCAATAACTTTTCATAACAATCTCAAATAAATCAGATTTTAAAGATAGCCATTATTATGTTAAGCTCATAATGTGTCCTTTCCATTACATCTAAAATCTTTCTACTCAATGATTTAAAAGGATTTGAAAAATAAAATCATTCAACTTTGAAAATAAGTTCAGTGACCGAACTTAATGTCAATTTTTTTTGTGACTAAGACGAGGAGCAAGTTTGATTATAGATTTCTAAGAAAATCATCTTTTAAAGGACAATGAACAATCTGAAAGAGACAAATTAATTTTCAATCGCTGTCGAACTTATCAAAGATAATAATTTCGTTAGAATTAATTCTTCTTAATATACTAAAAGTGTCATTTTTTGTGTTTTTTTGTTCTTGAATCATCGTCATCATCTTTTCATTATTAAAATTGGTTTTTGATTCTATACTTTTTACTTTCTAATGAGATTATGATCGGGACTTTTCAATTAATTATGTCGATTAATTCGCTTTCTAAATAGTTTTTTAAATTAATTATTTTTTGTGTGTTTCTTTCTTGAATTGTCCACAAAGTTCAATTTTATTGTGCTTAGTTCTGTTTGTGTTCTTATGCGATTTCAGCTTTAAAATTTTCGAGAACTTTTTGATTTAAATTTGAAAAATTAATTTATGAATCCTTAAAAAAGCAATGTTTTAAAAAATATCAGAATTTGTCTAATGTATTTAAAGTTTTCAAACTATAGATCCTTTAAAACACCGAATGACTTCCAAATGGTGACATGCGATTATGATCTGTGTCAAATACTTTCGATTTCATTTGATTGAACAGGATGTGCTCAATGGCATGGATTTAATATATTCTTATAAATCAAAGCGATAAAATGTTTGAGAACAACTTTAAACTTTAATTTGATAGCTAATAAGACAGATTCTTAGACTGAAATCTTTATGAAATTGATCATAAGAATGTCAAATTCTATTGAAATTCAATTTGAATTGTGATTGTGGTGTCAAATAAGAGTAGAACCTACAAAATAGAGCCATATGTATAAGAATCCACCTTAGCGAGGAAACGGTGTCTAGTGGGAATTGAACCCACTTCCTCACAAATGACAATTTACAGATTTTAATTTTTCATTTGACTTCAACTAGCAGATTTACTTTCATATGACTCGATCCTCCAGATTCTACTCTACTTCAACATTATTGAAATTACTTGAGACATGAAATTTTTCTTCAAAGTATCCTCAAAACCTTCTCATAATTTTAATTCAAAGCTACAAATTTGAATCTATTTTAAAATTTTATAGCTACCTAAATGACTTTTTCTTCTCATTGCCAATCCTTTTTAAAATTATTATAGACTTCATATTCCTTTTCACTATTTTATTAATTATTCTAAGAATCATTTAAAACAAATTTAAACTCGGTTCTCTGATTCTCACAATCTAATGACTTCTTGATTTGCTTCCATTGCTGATAAATCTTGTTTTGACATTTTCAACAAAAAATAAAATATTTTAAAAAAAAATGTTAAAAATTATATCTTTTTATGCGGCTGTAATTTTTCATTGTACGGCATTAAATCTACGATGTAGCATCGTTTGTGGTTTCAAGAATTTATTTATTTTTTTCATGTGGAAATTAAAAGATTAAAATAAAAATTTCACTAAATCTCAAATGTCCTCGGAAAGAAGTCGCTGTGGTTGCATATCGGGCTTTAGTAAATCCATTCGGTTTGAATTGCTGCCGCTTCCATTTGTGCGATTCGTTTGTCCCATGCGAACAATGTCATTTGAAGAACTTACCTAAATGAATGGCGAAATGGAGCATAAAGAAGAGTAAAAAATGTTTACTGAGGATATTAGGAGCAATAAATAAATTAACTGTGGGATGTTTTTAAGCGAGGGAGAAATTTATTCAACATAACCTAAAAATTCAGTAAAATTGGAATTAAAAATAAAGCTCGCTAAATTTTGTACAATTTTTTTCTTGAAAAACTTTCCCCCTTAAAAATTTATTCGTGTCCTTACAGGACTAATTGGTGTTATAACAATTTCCGTTCGTGCTGCTTTTGCTCGTAGAAGAGCCGTATCCTCATTGGAGTCATCATTATCGTCGATATCTGGCTCACAATACATATCCCATGGTGGTGAATCGGGATCGATTTCTGTTCCTATGTCAAGATCTTCTTCATTTAAGTCTTCATCTTCACAATCTTCATCCTCTTCATCTAATAGAACCACTATAGAAGAACAATTATAGAAATATGTTAGCATAATTTTGAAACATGATCGAAAATAACTCCGTTTAATTACAGAAATATGCGAAACTATATCAAACACAAAACAATATTATGCATGAATTATGCTATGCAATTAAACAATTATCAATTTTATGGAATAAGAGGATTAGAGTTTTAATTTTTTTTAGGGTAAATGGATGTTCCGAACAACACAAAAATCTCAAATTTTTCATTAGGTTTTCTGGCGATTTGAAGATTTAAATAGAATTGGACTAAGCTAAGAAATGCTGAAACTAGGAGGGTATCCAAGTCCAGATTAAAACTAAATGCTTAAAGACAAACTGAGCTCTTATCTAATATTGGGTTTTGAACCTCTCTTATCATATACTGGTTGTGTGTTCTGAAGATTGCTAGGAGTCAAAGCTAGTTTAAATTAAACATTATGAACGTTAATGATGATTTAATGGCCAAGGATCAGGGATAAGGTCGACCTATTAAGTCAAATAACGATTCTGTTGTTCAAAATCGAGACTATCGAAGAGAATTATAGCTTTAAAAAAACAAGTTTTTGCTTGTGCCAGTCCAACCATTAATCGAATCTGCATGAATTTCTGTGCTGCTCGGAACAATAATTTTAATTTTTGTTAGAATATTTTGATTTAATTTTTTGAACGGTTAAGTTATTAGATTGTGAAAATATGATGTCTAAAATATATATACACATCACATATATACATTAAAATTGTAGCGATAGAAATACCTAACATTCATTTTTCATATCAATTTGAAACATTAAGTGACGATTAGATTTTCACACTACGATGAATAAGTTTTAATTTAATTATTTTTTGGTTATTTCACAAAAGTATTGCTTTGTAAATTTGATTAAATTTTTTTGTTTGAAATTTATGCTCGAACGGTTAGTTTTATTAGAAAATTATTACAGACTTGGAAACTTTAATGTATTTCAGTTACCAAATTTGCAAATAAAATTTCTTAAGATTTAAAATTTGATTTAAATTGGTGCAAATTTCAATATAGATTTTTAGAGAATAACAATGCAACTTCATTCAGAATATGTAGGAACATAGCATAATAGTTATGAGATAAAGTAATTGTTTATTTTTTATCAAGTGGGCCAAAATTTTGTGAACCTTACAATTAAATTTAAGATTTTAAAAAAAATCCCGTCAAATAGAATAAATAAATAAGGATGTGGTCAAGTTTGAATTGATCTTAGAAAATATCGAAGAAATCAATTTAAACTTTCAATATTGTAAAGAATGATCACATTCACTTGAGACTAGATGACAATACAGAACATACTGCAAGATTGATTTTAGTAACAATTACTTCTGAACTTTACTGAACAATAACTTGAAAACATTGTTTTATATCAAAATATCAAAAAAGATATACAAGTAATTGTAAAACCTCAAGTATTCAAATATTGTAACAAGAATGCTTTGTTCTGAATCTGAAGCTTCCATAAACAAATCCATTGTTCAATAAAATGCAAGAAACTTTTCACAACTTGAAAACTTCGATCAACAATAACAAAAAATTCCAATAAAAAAATTATGAAACAAAAAGAAACTTTCAAACTCCAATTAACAAACTCACAAAGAATTTTCGAGTAGATTAGGAACAGAATTTAAAGACAAAGAATGTGAAAAACAAAGAAAAGACTCAATTTTCAAGCATTCACGTCAATTCCAATAATCACGATAATCAACGCTGTCAAAGCTTTCAAAAAAGAATAAAGGCAATAGAAAAGAATCAATTTTCACTTTAAGAATGGAAATTTTTTTTTACGTTTATTCAGCACAGACTTTAATATTGCTGTTTATTTAGAGCTTCTAATAAAAATCTCCTTGTTTATGCTAACGTTAATTAAAGGTTCGTAATTTCTGTGCTGAAATTAAATTAATTACTATTTTTTCCGTGCTAACATCCTCGTTTTGAGATATTATGTCGCACATTAGATGCTAATGTAAGTTGAATGTTTAAGGGGATTGACTGCTTTGAAGACCTTTGAAATATTTTTTTATTACTTTGACTTTCAAATACATTAAGGCATTCTTATGAACTCATTATGATCACAATGAAGCTACTTCTTAACTGAGTAGATAGTTTGGTCCCTAAAATTAAGCCTAAAACCTAGATCTTGCATGAATATTATCAATAATATCTGAGCCTTGTTGTCCCAATAAATTTCATCCTTTTTTGTCAAACAGCACATCACCCTTGACTAATAATCCTTTACTCCGGAAAAACCATCATTTTCTTTGTCTATCTAATCCTATTCTAATAGATATAAATCACCCCTTTCCTCTACATTTAATTTCATTCTGGTTTATTTCAGCTGTCGTTATGACAATTTACGTTGTTTACATTAAAATTCTTTGAACATTTACTCTATGTCGTCTTTGAAGCACATCAAAAACATCAGCACTTTACTAAGATTCTCTAAAGGCTTCTAATAGAATCAAAGAGAAAGTATTATGTCTAAAAATTTATTTTATTTAAGGGAGTATGTTTCAATTACTTTGTTGCTGACTATATAGGCTTTTCTCATAATCTTGAAGATGCGTGACTTGACTTCATTTTTATCTTACTACAATGTCACACAATACTTTTTCCTAATAATTCTTTTAAAGTGCTTTCACTAAGTATGCCTGAGTCATGCTTTGACATGTGAAGTGCCTCAAACTGAACGTAATTCCACAAGTTAAGAATCACAATGAATGCCTTTTAATTATATCAAGCAATTCGCACTGCTTTTTGGCATCATGCGAAGTGTTATCGTAAGTCTTTGTTCCTTACCACTATGCATGTGATCTAATTTGATAGCAAACACAATAACATCATCAGTGGCGCTTCTTAAAGTGAATGAGATGAGTGTGGAAAGAATTGTGAAATGAAAGTGAAAAAGTAGAAGAAGTGACAATTGTCAAATGAATGTGAAAGGAGGGAGCACATAAAGTGACTTTATTTTTGTTGTTTGTTTATATTTTGCTTGTTGATATCTTCTTATTCTTATAAGCTATGAGGAAAGTGGAATGAAATGATGAAGAATAAAAGCGTTTGAAATTTAAAAAATGTTGTTCATGTACAATGAAATTGTTTGAGTTTTAATTCTTTTGGTTTTTTTTTTGTTTTCGACCTTGACTGAATTTGAAATGTTGAGCTTTGAGTTGTCAACTGAGAATTGCTTTTGAAGTTCTAATGGGGCTTAAATAATTTTTCAAAAACATTTTAACTGAGTAAAATACGTGAGGGAATTGATTAATTTGGCTCTAATTTATTTGAAATTTAACAGAGTTTAGAAGCGACTCCAGTAAAAACTAAAACTAAACCGAGATTGGAGCCGCACTAGCAGATATTGTAGATGAAAAGAAAGCAAGAGAAAGATTGAAGAACTCTAGGCTTGGTTTTGTTGAAAAGGACGCTAAAGTCCTGAATATGCCGAAATGGCAGAAGGTGTCTTTAGACTAGATAGAGCTGTCTTTAGACGTTCATTAAGTGCAGCAATGTGCCCACGTACGTCGCAGTCAAAGAAGTAAGCAAGTAAGATTGGAGCCGACCTCAGATCTCAACACTTACATCATCGAAGTTGAATTTAAATGAATCAGGGGTTAAGCAAGACGAAAATTCTTGGAGACTCTATCCTGACTAGGCTCATACAATTAACCCGAATAGCACAAGTCGGTTAATTAATCAGAAATCCGGCACAAAGCTGGTGTGACTCTGGCATGGTGCTGGATTTATATCGAAGTCAGTACCATGCCAGAGCCATTCTGGCTAGGCATGGGATTTCTATTCGATTAACCTACTTGTGTCATTCGGGCAACAATTAGAAACCCACATAAAATCCCCAAAAAATCTTTTTTCAAACTTGTTGAATTACCAAAAAAACCTATAAAAATTTCATTTGTCATATTAAAGATCTTTTCATGAGTGCACGTGTCATTAATTTAAGTTTGGTGATTAAATGATCAAAAATAATTACATGTTGAATAGTTTTGTTTAATACACAAATGACTTTATTAATGATTCTATAACAGTAATAATTATTACATAAAATAGTGCATGAAACGAAAAGGAAAAAAATATTAATTAAAACCAACATAAAGACATCAATAAATAAACACACACAAAAAGAGATTATAGAGCAGAGTGCAATCAACAAATTATTTGACTGAAGTCAATTAAAGTCAATTTAAAAGACATCAACAGTAATAATAGCTGTTAGTTCATTTGATATGAATTAATAGTTCATAGCTGCTATGAATACAGCAACGTCATGAGCAATAACAATAACAGTTATGATAAACAATAAATTCGTTCTTTGCATGCACAACGCACGCAAATGTAGGAAAAATAGGGACGAAATAGAGGCAAAATTTGCTTTGTTAAGCTTATTAATTTGGCATGAACAAGGTTTCAGATGTTTTATTTTGTGCTTTAGACAGAACATTTAACAAATAGGAGAAAAATGTCATTTTATTGTTTTTAAGGATCTTCTGAGGAGCTACACTCTCGCTTTTGAACCACCAGAACTCTACAAGTGTTTAAACTGAGCTATATTGCAGCTAGTTAAGTCGATTTACCACTCAATTCACGTTTCTATTTCAACTTGAAAATTTGACACAAAATCCCACAAAGCTACATTCTATTGCCTCAATTTGTTAGCCAGTATCCACATCTAGTTCACAAACATCGTCCAAAAAATGAAGAAGAAGAGATAAGTAAGCTCAACAAGCTGTAAATTCTGTTAAAACATTCATAATACGTTTGCATAAACCGTTGCCAATAGAATAAAAATGAGTATGCATATTTGATCACGAATATCACGTGAAAAGAACGGTTGATGATAAAAGGTTCACATACCTTCGGAATACGAGTGGATATTAGAAGAATATTTATTATGCGAGCTGATATGTAAATCCTCGTATTTCATGTGTGCGATACTTTAAAGATAATTAAATAAGTTCTTG